CATCCACCTAAGCATCCTCATCTTTGCAACACTTAACTTAGTATTATGCTTCACTTTTAATGGCCAACATTTGGCACCATAAAGCATTGCAGGTCTCACCACCATCTTATAAATTTTTCTCTTAAGTTTGAGGGGCCTTTTCTATCGCACAACAAACCCGATGCATTCCTCCACTTCAACCATCCAACTTGAAAGTCACATTAATATCTACTAATAAAAAAAATCTTATAAAGACAAACAAATAAATAGCTGAGAGCAATAATGTGCATCAACATTTCATTTACAAGACAGATACCTCCATCCGAATCATTAAAAAAAACAAATTTATCATCCACGACAGCGGGATAGGTATGTTAAATTTTTATTAATTCCTTGTAGGACACAAATGCACAAATGCAAAGTTAGATAGTTAAAATTGAAGTATAGTTTTGAAAAAAAAAAACAGGAAGACTTAGCTGTCAATCGTGTGAACATTTCTAGATTATGAAAACAGTGAAGCTGATGAAGGAGACTATAGCATAAAAAAAAAACAAATAATCACACAAGGAAAAATGCTCACCTATTGGAAGAACCCTTAGCTGCATTAATCAATTCATCGGCAAGACATTCAGCAATTGTCTTGATATTTCGAAAAGCACTCTCACGAGCACCTGTAGTGAGAAGATATATCGCTTGATTAACCCGTCTCAGAGGCGAAATATCAACAGCCTGACGCCTAACAACACCAGCAGATCCAATTCTAGTAGCATCCTCTCGTGGACCGCTGCAAGTAAAAACAAATTAAAAAATATGCGGATGAAGAGTAAACCATGAATACTCAAGAACAACCCTTAAACTCTAGGAGAAATAACAATCATCATGAGAATAGAGTACATTTTCTTAGCTAGAATAAACTATTTTAAGAAAAGACAAACAAATAAAGCACATATTAACTATTCTATAGCTTAAACTTTCATGTGAATTGACTCAATTGTAGTTCAACCATTAATTACCTATTAATGACAGCATCTACTATGATTTGGATTGGGTTTGTATCAGTAAGGAGATGAATAATGTCCATAGAATGTTTAACGATGCGAACAGCCTTCAGTTTCTTCCCATTGTTGCGACCATGCATCATCAATGAATTCGTCAATCTTTCAACAATGGGACACTGTGCTTTCCTGAACCTTTTTACAGAGTAACGTCCAGCTGTGTGTGGAAGATAGGTTGCATGCTTCGAAGGAGTTACCGCAATATAGTCAGCAAGTGACATGTCAGAAACCTGAATACAAACAAAGAATCCACAAACTAAGATTTACAAGGGGAAAAAGATCAATAATGCTACCAGCAGCTAAAGTTAAACACATTTTCAACACATAATTTATGTGCTAAATTAAGTACTAAAACCTTGAGAAATGTCAAAATCATGAAAGATAAAATACAACTACGATAAAACTAACTTTTAGCAACACATATTATAACACAATCTTATTGCGTGCTATTACAAGGTTCAATGGCAACACCAGATACTAGGTTACACTGTGTTACATTATAATCATCTGCTCGATTTGATGCTTCATCAGATCAATAATGATGAACTGCCAAACAAATTTCCCAAATCAGCCGCTCTCCAACTCCCTTGAACAAAATTCCACTGAACACGTCTCTCTCTTCAGATCACTCAATAGTCATTTCCAAATCACGAAATAGGAATCCACAGCTTTCCCTCTTTCACATTTCTCACTATTTCGGAAAATATCTTCGATTTCCCTCCCCTCTATCAATTTACAATTTCTGAGATTTCAATCCTTCAACATTCCACACTTATCTCTCGCTGTTTATCTGCTTAAGTAGATTTAAAGGTATGCTCAATTCTTTCTCCATATATTTTTTTTTTTCAAATTCAATGGAGCCAAATTGATGCTTGGTATGCATAAAAGAAACAGGAAAGAGATAAGTAAAACCGACCTCGATTTCTTCGAAAGACCACCGATTGAAGAGCTTAACATCGGTGGGCGAGGCCAAACCAGAGGATTGTGGTGGAGAGGACAGGGCGGCCGCCATGATTGGTATTCGGAGAGTTCTCGCTGGTATTCGGAGAGAACCAGATGCGGCAGCGATAAAAACCCTAGCGAGTTAGGCGGAGAGGAGCAATTTATGTAGCATTGTAGTCATGGACCGTCATGATGCTATATTGAAGGCGCTAAAGATTTGATTAACGGTTCCGATGAGGCATTATTTAGGGGCTGTTTGGTATCGGATTTACAGCCGGATTTAAGTCGGATTTAAGACCATTTCTAACCATTTGGCAAACAGCTGAATAGAGGCCCTCAAACGTTACAATCGAACGACATTTTTTTCGTCATTTGATTTCAGTTGAACAGTGTAACGTCAATATTGACGTCGCACTGATCACCTGTGCCATTTCTTTCTCTCTACCGAACTCGTCTGAAAAAGACGCGAAAGAAACGAGCGATGATTTGAGGGCAAAATGGCATTCCACTGGAGATGAATCACGGCACTTTTTAATTTTATTGCATTTTGTAGTGAAAAATGAGAATTTCGGTTCGAGATGCCCTAAATCCCGAGATTCGGTAAATCCCGGATTTACGGCTTAAATTCGGGATTTAGTAAATCCGAGGGTAGCCAGATTTAACGGGATTTATCCGAAGAAGCGCACGAAAGGGAGAAAGTTACCTTCACAGCCAGCAAGCTCCCGTTCTTGCTTCCGATCAAAATGTTGTAACTTCCGATCCGGATTGACGAGAAAGCCGTCAGAGGAGCGAAGTCGAACAACCATGCACGAAGGAGCCGCAGAAGCGACGCATGCAATCTATACACCTGCAAAGCAACGAAGCCGAACAGCAACGAAGAAAAGAGAAGATGAAAGGCAAACTTCTCCTGAACGCAGCGATACCATCGCTTAAAACGTCTACTACGATACATCCAAGGTACGCTAAACTCACGCATCCAATTTGAAATCTAACTTGAGTTTAATCGGCTTACTCTGATGCAGAGGGCGGAGACCCATCTCTAAGAAATCAACCATCTGGAACTGCTCATATCTTGGAAAACAATGATCTCTTGGACGGTCAAGAAGCAAACTACGGTGCTCGCTCCTCAACAGAAGTCAGGTATCGGTCTCTAGCTGCTCTCACCGCCACGTGTTTGGATCAAAACGTCTTCTCGACGACTTCGGTATTACTCAAAGTCATCCAACCGACCTCTACTGCTGACAACACATCGGCAATTGTTATTGGCAAACAATCTGGTGTGCCACCACGAACGAAACACATCGAGATCGATCACAGATTCATTCGGAACCATATTCAGCAAGGCGCAGCCATTAAGGATCTCTTCCCATCAAGCCGAAGGACCAATTGGCAGATATCTTGACGGGAAGCCGGGGGGGGGATATCTTACACGTGTTTCAAGAACTTCGTCTAAAACTGAACGTTACTCAAGCACCTCAGTTTCCGGGGGGATATTAGAGCTCAAAGAATAAATAAACAGTATACTCTGTGTTGCCTTTTATATCAACTTTATGTATAGCCTTTATTCTATAATACTAGTCTCTGTATACATTGAAGATAATAAAAGTTATTCATACTCTGACCTTCTTCTTCCTGCGACTCTGAGGAAAACTCCATGAGTTTCTACACTTAAACACTTTGTGTTATATATATGTTGATTCGTTGTCGTGTAGCAACTCAATGGAGATAAGTTGTCAAGCCTGCAATTTTATTGTTGCCATATTCAAAATGGAGCTACCAAAACCTCCATGATTAGTATTATCTCGTTAATGTTAGAAACATCTAAGTAAAGAAGTTAACTGCTTAAATATCGAAAGGTTTTTTGGATGTAAGTTAGCATTTCATTAAGAAACTTCGCAGTAAAGCAATGCTCATCTTGAGAATCTTGGGATGAGTGGCCTCCTGGGAAGTTACACCAACATGACAAAACCTGAGGCTCTTAGGTCAAAGTAGACAATATCTTGATAATTAAGAGTTAGGATTGTTACAAATGCAACCAAACCATTCTTAGTAATACCAAATAGTTTTTGATGTGTAAAATATTAAAATATTGTCAAAAATCTTGGCTTTAAAAAACTTTTCTTGTATATTGTGATTCTTTTTTCTATAAATATCGTATCCAATGAGAATAACCAAGTCCCCACCATCCACTCTTTATGTCAAAGAAGTTTCTCTACTTACTACTATCATACTTTGATAGGTTACAATAGTTTTATCAAAAAGGTAAACATGACCACTCTTTGTTTCAACATGTATGCATGTATATATATATATATATATTATATATATACATTTTTATTGTCAAATCAAGTTGTTCTACTACGTAAATCAACAACAAGCTCAAAGATAATTCAATTGTAACATCGATTAAGACACTAAATGCTGCATAAGATAATTTTATGATCAAAGGGTATTATTAAAAGCCGTTCTTATACTGTTGGAATTTTTGCAAAATTGCTATACGACTCTCCTAAAAAATGTTATTAAATAGGACCTATTTGTACTTAAAGAGAGTTGCGAGAGGCCTAAGAAAATCTAAAGAACTCAATGACCGCCATAATCAATCATGCCACAATCACCTAATCTATCCAATCCCTTATTGGATTTCAAACCATTTCGCCCTATGAACACCCACCTTATGTTAACTCTACAATGTAATTCTTATAATCTACATCTTTAAATAAAAGTAAATAATTTATCGACAATTATTATTGTATCATTGCCAATTAAATAAAATTTCGTGATTGCTTCTCATTCCTAGGTTTTCCACATAAAAAAGTTCTAATTATATTACGTTTGCGTCCTTGGATATCGCGGTGGTAGAGAAATATATGGTTTAAGCGTCTTAGGCATTGTACGAAGATCCAGCACACAAAACAGATAGAGAGGGGTGAAACATTCATAAGGAGACACAGAGTTTTTACGTGGAAAACCCCTGAAAAGGAAAAAAACCACGGGCCTGGCCCAGTTTGAATGAATCCACTATTATTGTAGTCGTTACAAATGAGGCTCTTCCTTGTGAGAAGGCCTTTAGTTGATGTTACAAATGTACATCATACAGATTGCATACATTAGTAGGAATTACATATTTCGTTTGTCTGGTCGGATAGAACCGTAGTTAGCGAGACCGGGGTCAGAAAAGACTATTGTGTGTTGATGGAGGTCGGAAGGCATAGTAGGAGACGAAGCCTGAAGACTGTAGTCGGTAGGAGACTGGGGTCTGAAAGACCGTTGTCTGGTGATGCGAGGTCGGATGGACCGTAGTAGGCGACGAAGGCCTGAAGGACCGTTGTAGTAGGGCGGAACTTGTAGAACTTGGACGTCAGGTAGTGGCCCAGCAGATGTCCAGGCCTCAGGTGGTGGTCCGACAAAGCAAACGGCGTCAGGTGGTAGTTAGCGGAGGAAAGGCTGCTGGAGGAAGGTGAGGCCTCAGATGAAACGTCAGAACCCTGAAGTCGGGCCTTGAGCAGAACTTTAGGGCCTGAATGTCAGGCCTTAGTAGCACGTCGGGCCTGACGTCGGGCCTTAAGATGGTTAGTGCAACGAACTTCGGTGCGTCGTCCAGCGAGGCTCCGCGGTGATCCGCGAGCTCCGGCGGTGGGTCCGGCGTAGGCTCCGGCGGTGGTCCGGTGAGGCTCTGGCGGTGGTCCGGCGAGGCTCCTGTGGTGGTCGAGGAGAGCTTTCTTCCTTGCCTCTCCTTCTCTTCTTGCTTGACCCCTCTTGTGAAGAATGAGGGCTTTATTTATAGATTTTCTGGAGTGGATTGGCCCGTAAATAGTTGAGATCAGGGGTGAATAGGGAAGTGGTCGAATGGCATGGCCGATATGAATCCTACGATCGTGCACCGTTTTGTTGGTCATTTGAAAGCTTAGTGATGCGGAATTCAGTGATCTTGGGACTCTTAGGATTTTTTCTCTTAAGCCGTCGATTCGAGTATAAGCTCTTTAAATCGGAGACCGTTGGTAACTCAAATGCGTTTGAAACTTCCAATAGTGCTTCGGGTCCATTGATTCGGACCCATTGGGCCTCGGATTGGCATCAAATTTGGTGTCGTTGGATTCGCATTTCCGAAACCTCAGTTTGACTGTAAGCTCGCTGAAATCGGAGTTCACGTGCCTCCCGAATTAATTTTTGAAGTTCCGGTTGAGATTTGCCTCGGATTCGTGTCCGGTCAGATAATTCATGATGACGTCATCAATCTACAATTCACAAATTCCATTCTGCATGCGTGAATCATTATACGAAGCCTAAAAAAAAAACTCAACAAACATTCTACCATCGCAAAATTTACATCATATGTTAAGTCTATCCGTGCTTATCAAATCTTGTGTGCTTATGAGCTCATGGTCATATACCTAGATCAAAACAAAGTTTTAAATAGTCTCTTCGATCTTGCATCAAGATCTACATTTAGGGGTTCCATCAAATGACGTAATTCGACTCGTTTTTGATACAAGTTATAAAAATATGAAAAATTCTTACTCATGCATGTTTGTCAAAAGTCACCGTTAAACTACATTTTTCAACTGAGCTTCATCATTAGATCATCTCATCCTGTTGAGTGAAGAAATCTTAAATGAAAAGAAAATTAATATTAACAATTGGGAATATTGATGCATTGGGAGGGGAACGGTAGTTCTTGAAATAATAGTGAGGATAGAGGTTAAACTAATTCAATTTAAAATTTTGGATATATTTGTTAAATTAAATAAATAATATATATTTGAACAATACGATTTTATGACACAACTAAAGTTAAATTCTCTTCAAAAAACATAAATAGGAATATAGATTATCTTAAATCCAACTCTAAGGGTTGTTTGGCAACCAAGTGGGATTTAGTAAATCCTGTATATCACGAATTTGAAATCTGAATATTTAAATCCTGGAAAAACTGGTTTAGTATGTCAAATATTTAAATCTGTTAAATCCTGAGAAACTGTTGATAACATATTTCAGAATTTATTAGCAGTCAGGAATTGAATGTGAAAAAAGATTAATTATAAATTGAATGTGAAAAAAATAAATTATAACTTTAAAAAAATTTAAAATAAAAATATAATGTGTTATAAATTTAATAATATGTTAAATACAAATTACTCCATTAATTATTATTTACACAATTAATTTATATATTTAATAATATATATTA